AAAAAGGTGAAGTACAAAAACGACTTGGGTTTTTAATTGTACGTTTGTCTGGAACCTCAGTATTTATTTTATTTGTTACGTCTGCGAGTTTTTCCTCATCATTGGTCGAAATATCTAAAGTATTGTTTTCCACTTCTCTAGCATCTTGGTCTAAAAAATGTACAACAAAATACATGTATAATTTTCTAATTAAAAGTATAATTTTATATATAAACAACACTCACTTGTTACAGTACTCTGAATAGTTGATTTCGATTTCGATGTAGTTTCCGTGCATAAAGGTTCTGTAATAACATAATACAAAATAAAATTATATAATAATTATTTCTTTTGCAAACATTTTATTAATTATAAATAGTTTAAAATTATATTATTTAAAAAAATTATAAATAGTAAATTAGTTATAAATATTTTAAACTATTTATAAAACGTTAACCATGTCTTTATTTTTAAACCAAATATTCAATTTATAGTGAATATGAATTATATCGAAATTTCATTTCCGTAATTTGTACCATTTTCATTGAATTCATCACAGTCTTCTTGATCGTGAATCTGCTTTTTAGTTTTGCCGCGGAAGTACGCGAGAGCCTTAGGAACAAAAAACGGCAAAGCCAAAATGGTTAGTACACCACAAACTTTTAATGCGGTGCGCGTAATACTAGTACGATGTCGTCCTTGCATGACGCCACCGCCAGCTCTCTGTTCCCGACGTGCTCGACGGGGTGAACTGCCGCCGCCGCCTTCCAGACTCATCTCGATTTTATCCACCATCTTCATTTGTACGATTTGCGATGGAACGTAACTATCACGTGAAAGTATGGGGTGGGTGGATTGAATATTCTTCTTCTCGTCTCCGCTTCCCTGGTTGTATGCGTAGCGAGCTTGTACTGAGCGGGATCCGTTGGACGACCGCGTGTCCGAACGATCCCGGTGACCTTCGTGTTTCCTTCCCCCGACCGTCCGCCGTCCCTAGTGCCAGGATGTGTTAGGAGTATCGGCGGTGGCAAAGGAGTACACGTTAGATTAATACTGGGTTTATTCACTTAACACTTATGTATAATAACTACTGAGCGACCCTCGGCAACCCGTGCGTACGTGGTGCTGTCTCGATGGAGAGTCCCGGCGTCCCGCTTCTTCGCAGTGTGCCTTCTTCGCCGGGATCTCTCCCTCTCCGTCTTTCCTAAATGTTCTCGAATCCCCTCCCTATGCGACTGTGCGACCAAAGGCCGCTCATGGACAGCACTGCTGCTGGGTATTACCGGTCTCAATTTACGGTTTATTATCTCAATTACGAGAGTTCATTGAACTATAGAACTTACTGCAACGCGCGCTGACGGTGTCTTCCGCCGATAATCTCGAGCCGAGGGAGATAGTGTCTATGAGGCATTGGCTGTCTGTTTTTACATATCACCTTAGCTAAAAACATACGACATACCCATACAGCACATGATATTTCTCGAATATTCTGTACTCGTACTGCAAATATACGTACGGTATATAACATAAGTAGGGGATACTAGGGTGTTCTAAACCCAGGAGCTCCGAGGGGGGAGCGGGGCGGGGAGGTACTCCGTGGCGAGGGGAGCGGGGTGGGGAGGGGGTACTCCGTGGCAAGGGGGAGCGGGGTGGGGGTACTTCGCGACGAGGGGGAGCGGGGAGGGGGTACTTCGCGGCGAGGGGGAGCGGGAAGGGGTACTCCAAGGCGAGTGACCCTGCCGCAGTGAACTCTATACATACTGGAATGAGTGATCTATTGTTCTGGCTGATGCCGAGAGAGAGGTGCGTTTGGGTGAATCCTTGTCTCCTTCTAGTACTACCTGATTGGATAGTCGCATATAAATGACGAGAAGAAGGGCGTCACTTATATGCGATTATCCAATCAGGTAGTACTAGAAGGAGACAAGGATTCACCCAACGCACCTCTCTCTCGGCAACAGCCAGAACTATAGATCACTCATTCCAGTATGTATAGAGTTCAATGCCCTGACGTCACGCAAGGTGCTGACCTGTCACTACGTGACATGTAACAGATATCTAGGTGCTGACCTGTCACTCGTTTCAATACTTTTTTAGCGCGAACACCTGGACGCGTATTCTTAATGTCCATGTTATGAATCACGGGATCAAGCGCCGAAACCTGGCTGCTGACAGCGACTTTCATATCAAGGTGAATGAATCCGCGGTGCAGGGAGGAGGACCGCGGCGCTACGCGATCTCCGGCGCGGGGGCGCGAGACGATTCGCGGCGCGTGCATGTAATAGATATCACCGGGATGCCTTTGATTAGCGCGAACACCTGGACGCGTATTCTTATTTTCCTTGTTATGAGTCACGGGGTCAAGCGCCAAAACCTGGCTATTGACAGTGACTTTCTTATCATTACCCGTATGGTCGACGTCGTTCTCTCTCTCTCGCCCTAGCTGGGTCTGCGGAGAGAGGGGAGACGCACGCTATGACCGCGAAGATCTCATCGCACGCGTGTAAAAATGCAAACCATGCAATGTCGTTGCGCACAAAGTTCTTAAATGTAGAGCTCGAAGGACAACTGATGTCGATAGGAGATGATGAGGGAAATAAGAGCATTTAAAATGATTAAAACCGAAAATTCTCTTTATTCACCCTTCTCTAGTTACAATAGTTAAAAGACGCTGATCTTCGATTGAGGTTTAATTTTATGAGATCGAAGAGGATAGGAATAAAGAATGGATAAAAAATGTTTGTGAACAAATATATATTTATCGTAATATGTACATTATGGTAACGCATCATATAAAATATTAGGTAAACCTTCGGAAAACCCACGCATATGAAATAAGGGATAACAACACTCAATTCCTATGTATTTTTGTGTTCTGAACATGAATATGTAACTTAGACATGGCGGTCGGAACAAGAAACCAATGAAAACCACGAAAAACCCATAAAAATTATGGTTTTTAACATTTATCTCACCAAATATCAAAAATTTTGAAAAATGTTTTAAATAAAAGTTGTAGATCTCTTCGAAATATGCATTTTATATCCTATTCATTTTTACTGTACGAGTGATAGTTTTCGAGAAAAAGGATGGACTTCAATCTGTCCTCCAAATCTAAACATGTATTATTTTGCAGTACATGTACGCAAAAGGAACAGAAAAACGCAAAAAGGCCAGCAAAAATCAACGTTAGCTGTATAGTTATGCTACAGTGTGTTATATCTTAACGAAGTGGAGCCCTCCCGAAGGGGGGGGGGCGGAACATACTGTCTGCACGCATACATTTTTCTACCCACATATAAGTCACTGCCCTCCACCAAATGTAGATGGAAAAATGTATGCGTGAAGACAGTGTGTTCCGCCCCCCCTTCGGGGGGGCTCCACTTCGTTAAAAATAACCCTACCCATCCTATGTCAGAGATGTGGAGTGGATCTCGCTTCACGTGGAAAGTTGCAAACAGTACAACGGCGGAAGTACATGCGTGGAGACAGTACGTTCCGCCCCCCCCTTCGGGGGGGGGGCTCCACTTTGTTAAGATATAACCTGACCCAAACTATGTACGAAGTGTGAAGTGGATCTCGCTTCACGTGAAAAGTCGCAAATCCATATGGAATCGTATATGTACTACAAAGCACATGATTAGATGAGAGGACAGATATAAGATTTAGAATCCATCATTTTTCTCGAAAACTATCACTCGTACAGTAAAAATGAATAGGACATAAAATGTATATTTTAAAGAGGTCTACAACTTTTATTTAAAACATTTTTCAAAATTTTTGATATTTGGTGGGATAAATGTTAAAAACTATAATTTTTATGGGTTTTTCATGGTTTTCATGGGTTTCTTGTTCCGACCGCCATGTTTAAGTTACATATTCATGTTCAGAACCCAAAAATACATAGGAATTGAGTGTTGTTGTCCCTTATTTCATATGCGTGGGTTTTCCGAAGGTTTACCATATAATCGTAGATGGAAAAAAGTATACTGGTACACATGGCCTTTACGAACTGATTTTCAAAAAATTTCCTGAAGAAGATAGTTATACAAAATCTGATAAACGCAACTACAAAAGTATACTTTTGGCAACAAATGCACATACACGTGATCACAACATGCATAATCCTGTAAAGAGTAACAAGGGACACAAGTATAGAAATATAATTGCATCCTTGCTAAAAGGTGTTGGAGAAGGTATGCCGTGTACCGTGACGCTAAACAACAACAAGATCGATTATGTTCATTGGGACGATCCCAACGAGCTTGTAGATCGTTTTTGATTGCTTGAGGCCTCTCGCCAAGCGGGTCACAATGATCACGATAACGAAATCATGTCGATCATCGAAGAACTCCGCGAGGCTGGACTTATTATAAATTAAACTGCGTGTGAGTGATTCAACCAATTGACAACGAAATGCCGATCAACAAGTTTGGAATATCGCTCGGAAGAAGTGGAACGGATCCGTACTATCAATATAGCGGATTAATTAGAAACTACGTTCGCGATAACGCTCTTTGTGTGGTCGCGACAGATTTTGATGTAAAGTCACGCAAGATTCGACGCGTAGCGCTGCCTGTAGATGATGACGATGCTGTCAACAAACGGTACGTTCAACAGAACATACAAATTTTGAAAGATCGACAGGATGAGATGGAGAGGAAGATAGTAACGCACCAAAATAGCATGCAGAATATGATAAATGAACTTCACGAAATGATTCAGCGTATGACTCATCGCCAATAAGTTAAATCTCTCCGTTACGCGAACGTATGTTCCCGATCGACATACGATCGATCCCCGTTCCGTTCCCGTTCAACGTACGTTACGCGAACGTGTGTTCCCGATCGACATACGATCGATCCCCGTTCTGTTCCCGTTCAACGTGTGTTACGCGAACGTGCGTTCCCGATCGACATACGATCGATCCCTGTTCCGTTCCCGTTCAACGTGCGTTACGCGAACGTGTGTTCCCGATTGACGTACGGTCGATCCTCGTTCCGTTCGATATACGTTCGGTCCCTGTTCCGTTTGATATACGATCGGTCCCTGTTCCATTCCCCGTTTAAAATCATTTGCTC